CAGTCATGGCCACCATACTCGGTGAATGGAGTGCTGGGGATTGAACCCATGGACTAGTGCATGCTAGACAAGTGCTCTACCAACTGAGTAACATCCTCAACCCAGAATAATTGTATTTGAGATACAGCGTTCTGAATAAAAATTCTGTCTTCTCTGCTTTTCAACTTGTCTTGATGTGAGGGTGCACATTCATACTCCTGCTGCTACAGGAGCCAAAATAATATATAATGCGTGTGTGTGTGTGTGTGTGTGTGTGTGTGTGTGTGTGTGTGTGTGTGATGTGCATGTGTTTGTGAGCATGAAGAGCTCAGAATGCAACCTTGTGGAGCTGGTTCTCCTCCTACTGTGGGCGAAGAGGGCGGAACTCAGGTCCCCAGGCTCCCACAGGAAGTCCCTTTACTGAGCCATCTCACCAGCCAATAGGTTTTTGTTGTTCTTGTTTTGAGATGAGATCTCTCTCTATGTAGCTCTGGCTTGTCCTGAAACTTGCTTTGTAGACCAGACTAGCCTCAAACCTGTTCTACCTGTCTCTGCCTCTGGAGTGCTGGGATTAAAGGCATGTGCCACCATGCACTGCTATTCCTCTTTAAAAGGAGGCTGAAGAATATGTAACAGTGCATATTATTTAGTGTGGCTTTCATCCGGTTTCGTTGGATGGTGTCAGCTCTGGATAAAAATAAACTGACAAAAGCGAGGTGCATAAGAGTGTTTAGTACACTGTGCTCTAACGAAAGGGGGGAGGCCTCTCCATCTGTCCCCTCTTTGTGGCGTGGTTTTGTTTTTAAGACGGTTATCTAAGGAACTTTTTCTCCTCCAGCCCATACCTGCACCTCCCCAGTGTTGTGATTTTAGGGGTGTACCATTGGACCCATGCTGGGTACCTCCCAAGTGTTGTGATTTCATGGGTGTACCATTGGACCCATGCTGAGCAAGACCTCTACTAACTGAGCTACACCTCCCCAGCCAAGGCCTTGCTTTTTAAATCCATCTCTGGAGCGGATATACTAAAAACAGTGTCTGGTGGTGTCTTAGTGAAGACTTCTATTGCTATGATAAAAACCAAGACCAAAAGCAATTTGGGAAAGAAAGGGTTTATTTTATCTTACACTTCCAGGTAACAGTCCATCAGCACAGAGGGAAGCTGGCAGGAAATCAAGGGGAGCCGGAACCTGGAGGCAAGAACTGAAGCAGAGGCCATGGACGAGTGCTGCTTACTGGCTGTCTCCCCATGGCTTGCTCAGCCTGCTTTCTTATAGCACTCAGGACCACCAGCCCCAGGGTGGCATCATCCACAGTGAGCTGGGCCTGTTCACATCAGTCATCAATTAAGAATATGCAGCACAGACTGGCCAACAGGCCAATCTAGTTGTGCATTTTCTCAACTGAGAGCCCCTCTTCTGAAAGAACCCTAGCTTGTGTCAAGTTGACTAAAATCTAGTCAGAACGAGTGGTGTTTATTTAGAAAGAAACTGTCGCCAGAGGACGAGGTTAACCTTTGAATTCTAAATCTTTTCATAAAGTTTTGAGCCAAGGTGTATAAGTATTTTGAATATCATCTATATATTTTTATTACATTTAAAAATTATGTGTATTTATATGTGTCTGTGTGAGTACATGCCTCATATGTACCTGAGGAGGCCAGAAGAGCCTGTCAGATCCCTGAGTTGGACCACAGGTGGTTGTGAGCGATCTGATAATTCAGGCACTGGGAATTGAACTCAGATCCTCTGAAAGAGTAGAAAACATCCATTTCTGTTGTTGTTGTTTCAAGACAGAGTTTCTCTGTGTAGCTTTGGCTGTCCTGGAACTCACTCTGTAGAGCAGGCTGGCCTCGAACTCACAGAGATCCGCCTGCCTCTGCCTCCTGAGTGCTGGGATTAAAGGTGTGCGCCCCCACTGCTGGACTAGCAGGGACCATTCCCGAGCACGGAGCCTTCTCTCAGCTTCTATATTATTTATTTACTGTATGTGCGTGGGAATGTGAGCAAGCACCAAGGCACACATGTGCAGGTCAGAGGACAGCTTTCAATGGTCAGCTCGTGCTTTTCACTTTGCTGAGGCAGGCCTCCATGGTTTCTGTTCTTGCCAGGCTTATTCCAGGCTAGCTGGCCCACCACTCCGGGCTCTTTCCATAGGTTCTGGGGATCAAGGTTGATCAGATTTCTAGGGCTAGTGCTTGTCTACGTTGTGCTGCCTCCCTGCCTCTATTCTCTATCTTTTATACGTATTGTGATGTATTCTTGATATATTACCTATGTGCATAATGCATTTGTAGGCAATGTAGTGAGATCCTGTCTCAACATAAAAAGTGAACAGAGAGAGGCTGGGACTACAGCTGTTGCCTACCACGAGTGAAGCCCTGAGTTGAATTACCAGAATCAAGGGGAAAAAAGATGAAATCCTTAACATGGAACAAAAACTTCCAACCAGAGAAATCTGCCTCAGATGGGAATACACCACTATGGCACTGGCAGACAGGGACAGTGGTGAGCTGAGCCTGGGAAGAGAATCTGCTAAACTTACTCTATTTTTAAAAATTCACTTTATTGATCACACTTTGTGTGTGTGTGTGTGTGTGTGTGTGTGTGTGTGTGTGTGTGTGTGTGTACCACAGCACACATGTGGAGGTTAGAAGACAATTTGATGTAATCTTTCTCTCCTTTCCCCACGTGGTTCCCAGGGACTGAACTCACATTACAGGTCTGATGGTCTTTTCGGGCTAAGCCATCCGGATGGACTCTCATTCTCTCCATTTTTTTTTTTTTTTTAACCCTGTGCCAATTGAATCTTTAAAAAAGAGAATGCTTAAGTTGCATAATCACAAGGGGGAAGAAAAAAAATCTAGATTAGGAACAAAATATACCAAGATGTTCACAATAGCTGCCTTTAGATAATGAAATTACAGTTTTTTCTTTCTTTGTAATGGAACAGCCCCCAAGCTCTTTTTTCCACTACATGTTCAAAAAAAAAAAAAAAAGAAAGAAAGAAAGAAAGAACCACACACACACTTTAAAGATTCCATTAGCCATTTAAAGAATTTTCAATTATATTCATTGCTTAAAAAAAAAAGATGGCAACTAACACAGCCCCTTATAAAATGTCGTAATTCAAGGCTCCCACTATTCTCTCAAACTTAAAAAACACTGCAAACTTACATGAAGAACATAAAAAGCAATTTCAAATCACCAGCGGGCTTCAGAGTTGGAATATACTCCCTTTGCGCCATGCAGAATCCAAAATACTTTCAATTGATCAAGACATCAAATGCTATGGCATGCCCCAGTAACCACGAAGTCAGCGTTCTGAGGGTTAACAATCTGCCCAGGGCAGGTATTCAAATCCACCACGTCGGGGAGAGTAGGCTAAGCCACAGCCTCAGGACATTACCATCTCAGTGGGGAGCGCGGGTTAGAGCCGCCAGCCAGCCAGCCCTTCGGTGGAAGGCATGTCTAAGACGGGGTTTTTTGAGTGATAGGAGAGCCCGTAATTGGGAAAAAATGATAACAGGGAGATTTTGGGTATAATGGACCCCGAGGGGCAGGAGAGTCCTGAAGGCGGGGAGGTAGACATGGAAGCTTGGGAGAGAAACCAGCTACTCCCAACACTCCAAAGGGTTAAAACCAGGCAGGAAAACTCCTGGAGGGAAGCCACCTCCAAAGGCAGCCATTGGAGGCCGTCACCTCCCCCACTGCCCAAAACTAGACAGGCCGTTGGGACGCGATCCTTTTGGGGATTATTTAAAGCCCCGAGGGCCCTAGGTGAGCTGCAGGGAGGGATTAAAGCCCCGGGTACAGTAGAGTCCCTCTTCCCTGTGGGCCCAGAGGTTAGGTATGCTGGGATAGCCCCCGCCCCCACCCCCACCCCACCCCCAGCCGCTGCCAGATGCAGTTTAGGCCCAGGCAAGCTTTGGCAAGAAGAGGTGTTGAGCCCCCCCCCCCAGCCTGAGGGATGAGCAGAGGATAGTGAGACATAATTTTGGAGATTTTGTGAGGACCAAGCCTTCACCAAGATGGGGGCAGGGGAGCTGTTTCCCAGTCTGACTGTTCTCGTCTTGTAGGGCCTACCTGGGCAAGCTGGCTCAGGCAGAAATACATTTCAGGGGTTCGGAAAACACCCAAGTCCTTCTCTACTCAACCATCCATGCCTCTTTTGGGGCGACACTAAGCTGACACACACACACACACACGCCCAACCCTCACGCTTAACTACAAAGTTCTCCCTTCCCTCTCTCAACTCACCTTTCCCTCCCTTCTGCTCCCCTCCCCCCCATCCCACCCCAAACTCTTAGGCAATCTTTTAATTTTCTTTTAAGTTTTCCCTGGGCCGAGAGGGGTCTGTTTCAGAGCTCGGTCGGGCCGTTTTAACACTCCCAGCGGGGGACAGTGGATGAGACAATAGCTACTATCACTTTACCATTGGAAGTGACCCCCGAATTTACACTTCTTTCATCTCGGGACCAGAGCCCTGGAGGTGGGCGATTTCCTGGGGGGGAGTGGCTTAAACCATTTCCCCACCGGCCAGTTGGCTGTAGGCCGTCCATGCTTGACGGTCCACTACAGATATGGGACTGATGTGGCCGGGAGAGAGTGGAGGTCAGCAAGGGAAGCGCTCCGGGAAGGCCTCTCTCTGTAGGGAGGCCTAAATGACCCCGGCAGGAAGGTGGAGACAAGACTGGATGCTCCCCAGGGCTTTGGACCACCCTCGAGGTCAGTAAAGGAGGATATTTTTTTTTTTTTTCCAAAACCAGAAGGGGCCGGTTCCTCATTGAGCTTGGTGACCCAGGCACCTAGGGGTTGGCTCCAGGATAGTCAAGGATTCAGGTCTAAGGACCACCGGTGGAGATGCTAGGGGAGTGTGCGGACAGGGACGCTAGGCATTGTTTTACGTTCTCTCTACCCCCACACCTCCAGCCCCTTCCCCACCCCCCACCGACTAGCCTATCTCCCCCCCCCCCCGGGCGGGCACAATGGTATGGCCCCAGCCCCTCCCCAGACCCGCAGAGCGGTTCTGGTTAGGGCCCTGGTTTCTGCAGCTCCAGGTGGGCCAGCTCTCTACTCTAGCACCCGCCGTCTACTGGCACCCCCCAAGGGTGCCTGGTGGCCACTGTCAATTCCCCCATGTGGACCGCCCTTCCAGACGCAGGGTCCTGTAAAAGCCACTGAACTTGGTATCCACCGAGGCTCTTCTGGTTGGCCTCAGGTGCACCCCCTTAGTTACCTTTTGTGACGGGAGTGCCCTTGGGAAGTCAGCGTCTAAAGGACCTACCAGTGAGTCCCAGGAGCGTGCTATGTCTAGACCCAGAGGAGGAAACCAAGATGGCTGGCAGTCCCCTGGTCATGCAGCCTGGGCAGCCAGGCCACTGCGCCCTGGTAATTGAAGCCAGGCAGGCTGGAGAGGTAGGGATCGAACTCTACTACCTTATTGAGGGTTAAAGTCTGTGGGCCCCCATGCCTGTGGGTTTAGGAGATTACAGATTGCCAGGGGGTGCTTTGGGAGGGACAGGCAGAAAGGGGGAAGTCTCCCAGAGAGCTCTGGACTCTCAGTTGGAGTTCAGGATACAGTTGGTAGGGAAGGAGTTTATTTTCCCTTCCTGGTCCTACACAGAGCCCTGCCTGATCTACTATCTACTCACCCGCCTAAAATACAGGGGAGAGAAGCCCGAACCTGGCTCCGCAGCTTCCATCTGCTTCCCTGAGGCTACAGGGAAATGGCCCTGGTAAGGGTGACTAATAAAGTGTGCTGCCGCTGTCTACTTATCCCTTATGTGACTCCAGATCCTCCCCAGGCATTAAGGTGTAGTTTAGAAACGGATGGCCTAGCCTTACCTCCTCCCGTCCAACTTGAAGTCTGTAGCGGGGAGGCAGGGGTTGCCTCTTTGGTTTAGTACTTTTTCAAACCCTTTCCAGGAGCTGCGTGGGGATTCAGGGAGGCCAGCCACAGACTGGACTCGTGCCTTCAGAGCACCTGGCAGCAGTGGTGCTGGCCCTGAGTACACTTCAGGAAAGGGTGCCGTGGCCAAGGCGCTGCACCTGAACTCCATCACCAATCAGCTACTTAAGGGCTTCCTCCTGCATCCCCTGCCCCTTCCACACGGGCTGTCTTCTGGTGGTCCAGTCCTATTTTGTATGGAGCTGCTGTTTAAAATTTTTATTTTAGAAACGGGGGTCTCCCTACATAGACTAGGCTGGACGGACTTGAACTCAAGAACCTTGTGAGTGCTGGGATTCCAGGCTTGCGCCACTAGACCCCGCTCTCAGCAAGGGTCTGAGGAAGCCTCTGAAGCGGGTGTTACCTACTTACATCTCCCTCTTGGGGAGGGGGGAGAGAAGAGGGTGGAGTCAGGTGTGATTAGGCCAAGGAAGATGAGGCAGGGTAGGACCCGGTAGTGTGGGGAGGGGTAGGTCTGTGCAGAGGACGAGTGCCGTATCTGGACGCTGTGGTGGACACTCCTGGAGGAATTCAGGCAAGTCAGCTTTACTCTGGTACCTTGTCTGTTTCCTTGTCTACAGAGTGACTCGGTGGCATCTCAAAATGCCAAGAAGTTCTCCGGATCGTTTAAATAAATGCTTTAGAGAATTTTATGTGATGGAATTACAGCAGTTAGGAGAGCACTGGAGTCAGCTTTTAATAGCTGTATGTTCTTTCTTAATTTAACCCCCCGCTGAGCCTCCCCTTCTCCAGGTGTGAGCTAGGAACATTGATGCCTGGGATCCGGGTAGGTGTGATAGAGTTGTGGTTGCGTGGAGGAAGGTGAGACCCACAGGGTAATAAAATTACCTCTGAAAACCTGGAATCCAGTGTTCACCCCCACAAAAGCCCACAGGGACTTGTGATCACCCAGGGGAACATCACGATCCACTTGTAAGCATGGAGAATCACCTACACGCTCTAAATTGTTCTTTCTGAGACTTCGGTTGAATTGCCTAAGTTAAATGTGCTTGGTGCAGAGTCGTAAGTGGCAGCTATTTTCCTAATTTTGTTTGCAAAGTATCTCAAAGCACTCATTTGCATGCAGCTGTATGACACGACTTAATGGTGACATCGTGTAAGAAAAACAGGGGACATTATCCTGTTTCTTGGGACGATTTTCTGACAGTGAGGAAAAGCTCTTTGTCTTTAGAACTTGTTTTGGGGGTTCGGTTTTTTTTTTTTTTATTGCCTGTGCTATGTGTTTTTCTACTAAGGATCTGCATATAGTTTATCTCCCAAGTCCAAAGGAAAATGATAGATTTATTTTTGTTTATTTTTGGTCTTTTGAGACAGGGTTTCTCTGGGTAGCCCTGGCTGTCCTGGAACTCACTCTGTAGACCAGGCTGGCCTTAACTCAGAGATCCACCTGCCTCTGCCCTCCTGAGTGCCAGGATTAAACGCGTGTGTCACCACCACCTGGCTTAGAATTAAATTTTTAAAAATTATCATTATGTATATATGTGTGTTGTGTGTATGATATATATTTGTGGGCACGTGTGTCACAGCAGACACGTGGTAGTTAAAGGACAACTCTCCCACCTTGATCTGGCTTCCAGGGGTAAAGCCCGAGTTGCCAGACCTGTACAGCAAACCCCGTACCTGCTGAGCCATCTCAACAGCCCCGGAATAAGAGTTTTCAAAAATGCAAAATGCATAAAAGATAAAAAGATTCAAAAGGCCAATTTCTGTCGAGGTTGAGGGACAAGGGGTTCGAGAGTACAGAGTACACTTTTTTTTTGTTTTGTTTTTTTGTTTTTCGAGACAGGGTTTCTCTGTGTAGTTTTGCACTTTTCCTGGAACTCACTTTGTAGACCAGGCTGGCCTCGAACTCACAGAGATCCATCTGCCTCTGCCTCCCGAGTGCTGGGACTAAAGGCGTGCGCCACCACCGCCCGGTGAGAGAACACTTTATAATCCCAGCATTTAGGAGACGGAGGCAAGACTTATCTCAAATTCAAGACCAACCTGGGCTGCATAATGACAGCCTGTCGCTCAAAGAACAGCAACAAAAACCTATACCCCCCTGACCCTCCAAAAAAGAAAAAAAAAAAATCCAAATCTAGATTAAAAACATTGCAAAAGTAGAAATTTGGTGAGTTTATGCCAGATTATTCTTAATATACACGTGTGTCCTCTCCCCAGACAGGGTTTCTCTGTGTAAACAGTCCTGGCTGTCCTGGAACTCACTCTGTAGACCAGGCTGGCCTCAGACTCACAGAGATCCATCTGCCTCTGCCTCCGTAGTGCTGGGATTAAAGGTGTGCACCACCACCCGCCCGGCTGGGGTATAATTCTTACACATTTTTTCCTTATTATGCACATTTTGAAGGCTTTACAGCCTATGGTGTTAACAAAGGACGATTGTTATTGTCACTGCTTGAAAGGTTTTCCTTGTTTGCCATCAGGTAAAATTCTTTTCTCCCCACCTTTATCCAATTACTATTTACATTCCAGTGCATCTCTTTAAGTATACAGTTTGGTGAGCGGAAGCAAGTATACTCAAACACACTTTTAAAGTGGGGGCTGATGAAAGCAATGTGTTAGGCTCCGAGAACCAGATCTGCGAAGCCAGAGCAGAAAACCATTCTCTTTTCTAATCGAAAAGCTGTCCATAAAGGAATGCCTCTGCTTGGCAATTCCTGAAGTTCGGGAGATTGACCAGTATGCGAAGGGAGGCGGGCTGGGTTAAATGGGAGTGCAGCACCAGGCTAGCTCAGTCACTGGTGATATTTTAGACTAATTAGGCAGCTGCCAATTGCCTCAGTTTCTCCACCTGTGAATTGGGGCTAATGATAGGACCAACTTTTTCCTCTCTTTTTTGAGACAGTGTCTGAAGTATTCCAGACCAACTTTGCACTGGAGATGTAGCCAAGGACGACCTTGGGCATCGATCCTCCTGCCTCCGCCTCCCGCAGGCTGGAATAATAGGTGAGTGTTGGAGTCGCTGTTCAGGAATTGCAGGCATGCACCACCACAGGTGTTTATGTGGTGGCAGGAATGGAATCTGTGGCTTCTTGCATGCTAGATGAGCTCCGTACTAGCCGAATTATATCCCCGGCAGCCCCTCACACACCCTTTTTAAATCAGGGACTTGCTTTTTTTTTTGTTTTTGTTTTTGTTTTTTTGGAGACAGGGTTTCTCTGTGTAGCTTTGCACCTTCCTGGAACTCACTCTGTAGACCAGGCTGGCCTCGAACTCAGAGATTCACCTGCCTTGCCTCCCCAGTGCTGGGGTTAAAGGCGTGCACCACCACTGCCCTACGATTTATTTATTTTTTAAAATTTACTTTATTTTATGTGTATGAGTGTTTTACTTGAATGTATATCTGTGCACCATAGGCATGTCTGGTGCCTGTGGAAGTCAGAAGAGGATGTTAGATTTCTGGAACTGGAGTTATGGACATTACAGGCTACCATGTGGGTGCTAGGAATTGAATCTGGGTCATTGGTGAGAACAACAAATGTTCTTAACTGCCCAGGATTATTTTCTAAAAATTATTATTACATTTATTTATTTTGTATGTAGTAGGCATACATGCCGTAGTATACATGTGGTAGTCAGAGGACAATTCCTGGAGTCTGTTCTCTTTTCTACCATGACCCTGGTTCCAGGATTTGAACTCAGACCTCAGGTCATCAGGCTTGGCAGTAAACACCTTTAATCATTGATTCGTGTGTGTGTGTGTGTGTGTGTGTGTGTGTGTGTGTGTGTGTGTGTGTGTGTGAGAGAGAGAGAGAGAGAGATGTTGGGTGTCTTTCCTACATTGCTCTTCATCTTCCTTTTGGGGATAGGTTCTCTCACTGAACTTGGAGCTCTCTGATTCAGCCAGCGGGGCTGGCCAGCAGGTCTCTGGGATCCTCCTGACTGTACAGGTGTGTGCTGCTCCCCCTGACTTTTTTTTTTTTTTTAAGATTTATTTTTTTATTATGTATACACTGTTCTGCCCGCATATATGCCTACACACTAGAAGAGGGCACCAGATCTCATTACAGATGGTTGTGAGCCACCATATGGTTGCTGGGAATTGAACTCAGGACCTCTGGAAGAGCAGCCAGTGCTCTTAACCTCTGAGCCATCTCTCCAGCCCCTCCCCCTGACTTTTTAACATGAATTCTTACGCTCTGAGCTCAGGCCTGGTTTCCGGCCAGCGCTGTGCCAGCTGAGCGCTCTCCCCATCTGCTTCCTTTTTTGCAGTACTGCGGGTTGAACACAAGGTGTCCTTCACGCTAGGCAAGTGCTCTACCATTGGGCTATCCCAGTAGTTCCGACACTATGGTCCTGCTGCCGGTTTAGAACACGAGCAGTCTCCATTCCACAGACCTCCCCACCAGACATCTTCCCTGCTGTCTCTGTGAAAGACCATCTATTCCAAGACTGCGGGTCTCAGCTTTTTTTAGTTTCAGGATCTTTAAATGGGGGGCTTGAAGACTTTGGTAATATAGGTAACATCTCAATGGGTACTACATTCAAAATGAAAACCAAGGAGCTCAGGACACTGGTCTTGCACGTTCGAGGCCCCGGGTTCAACTCCTAATACTGAATTAAAAACAAACTAAAAATGAAAGAGTCAAGCTAATCACTGATATGAAAAGTAACTTTTCCAGGGCTGTGGCTATAGCTCAGTGGTGGGGTTTGCCACTGGTGCGTTCAGGCCCTGGGTTTGATCCCTAGCACTAATTTAAAAAGGAAAAATTTCTATAGTAAAAAGAAAAGGTAAGAATCATTTAATTTTTCTTTATTCAGATCTCTGCCATACTAGTTTAGAAGATCCTCATCAGTCTGTCTTCATATACTGTTTTGTTGTGGAAAAAATTAGGAAAATCTGACTTTAATCCTTTTATTCATTTATTCATTTTGTTTTCTTGAGACAATGTTTCTCTGTGTAACAACTCTGGCTGTCCTGGAATTTACTTTGCCTCTGTAGACCAGGCTGGCTGCAAACTCACAGAGGTCCACCTGCCTCTGCTTCCCGAGTGCTGGGACTAAAGGTGTGTGTCACCAACCCCCCCTCCCATTTGATCCCTATTTGAAGGGGACTTTGAGGCTTCTCAATGGATCTTTTTGCTATTCTGTGTGAACTCTGCATGACAATTGGCCAAAGCTTGGTTATGATGCAGGGTTCAAACCATAACTATTCCCGGCTCTCAGCAGAGGCTCAGGAGACACTATTTAAAGAAAACAGTAAAACAAGAAACCATATCCTGAAAATTTTGTATGATATGTTGTGCTTTGCTTATTTCACAAAGTGCTTGACCTTTTAAGGTCATCCATATTTAGGTATTGGGAAGTTGGCAAGGTTACTGTAGTAGATATCAAGTTAAAAAAAATTGGAGGGAGTTGATACAGGATCAGCCAGGGTAGTCTTAAACTCACTGCAAAGCCCAGATTGGCCTTGAAACTCCCAAGTGCTAAGATTAAAGGTGTGTACTTGGCTTTATTATTGTCTTTTTCCTTCTTTTTCTTTTTCTTTTCTTTTTTCTTTCTTCTTCTTCTTCTTTTTTTTTTTTGGTTTTTCGAGACAGGGTTTCTCTGTATAGTTTTGCGCCTTTCCTGGAACTCGCTTTGTAGACCAGGTTGGCCTCGAACTCACAGAGATCCGACTGGCTCTGCCTCCCGAGTGCTGGGATTAAAGGCGGCTGTTATTATCTTTTGATAGAGAGTCTTAATGGTGTTTCCCAGGCTAGCTCTGAATCCCTGGACACTGGTGACTACTCTCGCTATTTTCAGGTGAAAATTCAAGCTTTTTAAGTTACAGTAATATAGTTAACTTCTTTGAAGAGATCTGTTTCTTTCTTTTTTTATATATTAAAAAAAATTTAAGCCCAGCAGTGGTGGTGGTGCATGCCTTTATTTACAGCACTTAGAGGCAGAGGCAGGCAGGTCTCTGTGAGTTCGAGGTCAGCCAGGACTACATAGAGAAAACCTGTCTTGAAAATCCAAAAAAAGGGCTGGAGCAATGGCTCAGAGGTTAAGAGCACTAGCTGTTCTTCCTGAGTTCAATTCCCAGCAACCACATGGTGGCTCACAGCCATCTAAAATTTGATCTGGTGCCCTCTTCTGGCATGTAGGCAGAATACTGTATAATAAGTAAACAAACAAACAAACAAACAAATAAATAAAAGAAAATCCAAAAAAAAAGAAAAAGGAAGAAAAGAAAAATTAGCATATTTATGTGTATAAATGTTTTGCCTACATGTATAGATACCACATGCATTCCTAGTATTGAAGGAGGCCAGAAGAGGGTGTTGGATCCCCTGGGACTGGAGATACAGGGGATATATGCTTGTGTGGGAACCAAGCCCTGGTCCTCTGCAAGAGCAGTGGATTATTAGTCACTGAGCCATCTCTCCAGCTCATCTCCTGGTTCATTTTTGAGAGACTATCCGTCAAATATGCCTGAGTCAGCATAACCCAT